CGTGAGCCGGGCCCTGGACGGACCCCCCCACCGGCACTCCGCCAACGCCCGCCGCTGGCTGGAGCAGTACTACGTGGGGGACATGGAGAGCGGCGACGAGCAGGTAACCCCCCCGGGTGCTCCAGGGTTCGGGGGTGGCCCCGGGTCTGGGGTGTGCGCAGTCTACGGGGACCCCCGAGTGCGGGCTGGGCAGGAGCTGGGGTGTGTGGAGTCCGTGGGGTGTATGGAGTCTATGGGGTGTTCCAGGTTCGGGGTGTCCCAGGTTTGGGGTGTAGAAAGTCTATAGGGAGCCCCAGGTGCGGGCTGGGCAGGAGCTGGGGTGTATGGAGTCTATGGGATGTGGGTCGTATGGAGTCTATGGGGTGTTCCAGGTCCAGGGTGTCCCAGGTTTGGGGTGTAGAAAGTCTATAGGGAGCCCAGGCTCTGGGCTGGGCAGGAGCTGGGGTGTGTGGAGTCCGTGGGGTGTATGGAGTCTATGGGGTGTTCCAGGTTCGGGGTGTCCCAGGTTTGGGGTGTAGAAAGTCTATAGGGAGCCCCAGGTGCGGGCTGGGCAGGAGCTGGGGTGTATGGAGTCTATGGGATGTGGGTCGTATGGAGTCTATGGGGTGTTCCAGGTCCAGGGTGTTCCGGGTTTGGGGTGTAGAAAGTCTATAGGGAGCCCAGGCTCTGGGCTGGGCAGGAGCTGGGGTGTGTGGAGTCCATGGGGCGTATGGAGTCTATGGGGTGTTCCAGGTTCGGGGTGCCCCGGGTCTAGGGTGTAGAGAGTCTATAGGGTGCCTTAAGTCAGGAGTGTCCCAATTCTGGGGTTTAGAGAGTCTATAGGGTGTCCCAGGTCTGGGGTGTAGAGGGTCTATAGGGTGTCCCAGGTGTGGGCTGGGCAGGAGCTGGGGCGTATGGAGTCTGTGGGGTGTTCCAGGTCCAGGGTGTCCTGGATCTGGGGTGTAGAGAGTCTATAGGGTGCCCAAGGTCCAGGGTGCCCCGGGTCCGGGCTGGGCAGGAGCTGGGGTGTACGGAGTCTGGGGTGCCCTGGGTCTGGAGTGTAGACAGTCTATGGGATGTCCCTGGTCCAGGCTGGGCAGGAGCTGGGGGGTATGGAGTCTGTGGGGTGTTCCAGGTCCTGGGTGTGGAGAGTCTATAGGGTGCCCCAGGTCAGGAGTGCCCCGGGTTTAGGGTGTAGAGAGTCTATAGGGTGCCTCAGGTCAGGAGTGCCCCGGGTTTAGGGTGTAGAGAGTCTACGGGGTGTTCCAGGTTTGGGGTGTAGAAAGTCTATAGGGTGTCCCAGGTCAGGAGTGTCCCAGGTTTGGGGTATAGAGAGTCTATAGGGTGTCCCAGGTCTGGGCTGGGCAGGAGCTGGGGTGTGTGGAGTCCATGGGGCGTATGGAGTCTATGGGGTGTTCCAGGTTCGGGGTGCCCCGGGTCTAGGGTGTAGAGAGTCTATAGGGTGCCTTAAGTCAGGAGTGTCCCAATTCTGGGGTTTAGAGAGTCTATAGGGTGTCCCAGGTCTGGGGTGTAGAGGGTCTATAGGGTGTCCCAGGTGTGGGCTGGGCAGGAGCTGGGGCGTATGGAGTCTGTGGGGTGTTCCAGGTCCAGGGTGTCCTGGATCTGGGGTGTAGAGAGTCTATAGGGTGCCCAAGGTCCAGGGTGCCCCGGGTCCGGGCTGGGCAGGAGCTGGGGTGTACGGAGTCTGGGGTGCCCTGGGTCTGGAGTGTAGACAGTCTATGGGATGTCCCTGGTCCAGGCTGGGCAGGAGCTGGGGGGTATGGAGTCTGTGGGGTGTTCCAGGTCCTGGGTGTGGAGAGTCTATAGGGTGCCCCAGGTCACTGGGCAAGAGCTGGGGTGTGTGGAGTCTGTGGGGTGTATGGAGTCTATGGGGTGTGGGTCGTATGAAGTCTATGGGGTGTTCCAGGCTCAGCGTGCCCCGGGTCTAGGGTGTAGAGAGTCTATAGGGTGCCTCAGGTCAGGAGTGCCCCGGGTTTAGGGTGTAGAGAGTCTACGGGGTGTTCCAGGTTTGGGGTGTAGAAAGTCTATAGGGTGTCCCAGGTCAGGAGTGTCCTAGGTCTGGGGTGTAGAGGGTCTATAGGGTGTCCCAGGTGTGGGCCGGGCAGGAGCTGGGGTGTACGGAGTCTGTGGGGTGTTCCAAGTCCAGGGTGTCCTGGATCTGGGGTGTAGAGAGTCTATAGGGTGCCCAAGGTCCAGGGTGTCCCAGGTCCGGGCTGGGCAGGAGCTGGGGTGTATGGAGTCTGTGGGGTGTTCCAGGTCCGGGGTGCCCTGGGTCTGGAGTGTAGAGAGTCTATGGGATGTCCCTGGTCCAGGCTAGGCAGGAGCTGGGGGGTATGGAGTCTGTAGGGTGTTCCAGGTGCGGGGTGTAGAGAGTCTATAGGGTGCCCTGGGTCAGGGGTGTCCTGGGTCTGGGGTGTGGAGAGCCTGTAGGGTGTCCCGGGTCTGTGCTGGGCGGCATCTGGGGTATCCAGGAGTCTGTAGGATGTCCCAGGGTGCTCCAGGGTTCGGGGGTGGCCCCGGGTCTGGGGTGTGCGCAGTCTACGGGGACCCCCGAGTGCGGGCTGGGCAGGAGCTGGGGTGTGTGGAGTCCGTGGGGTGTATGGAGTCTATGGGGTGTTCCAGGTTCGGGGTGTCCCAGGTTTGGGGTGTAGAAAGTCTATAGGGAGCCCCAGGTGCGGGCTGGGCAGGAGCTGGGGTGTATGGAGTCTATGGGATGTGGGTCGTATGGAGTCTATGGGGTGTTCCAGGTCCAGGGTGTCCCAGGTTTGGGGTGTAGAAAGTCTATAGGGAGCCCAGGCTCTGGGCTGGGCAGGAGCTGGGGTGTGTGGAGTCCATGGGGCGTATGGAGTCTATGGGGTGTTCCAGGTTCGGGGTGCCCCGGGTCTAGGGTGTAGAGAGTCTATAGGGTGCCTTAAGTCAGGAGTGTCCCAATTCTGGGGTTTAGAGAGTCTATAGGGTGTCCCAGGTCTGGGGTGTAGAGGGTCTATAGGGTGTCCCAGGTGTGGGCTGGGCAGGAGCTGGGGCGTATGGAGTCTGTGGGGTGTTCCAGGTCCAGGGTGTCCTGGATCTGGGGTGTAGAGAGTCTATAGGGTGCCCAAGGTCCAGGGTGCCCCGGGTCCGGGCTGGGCAGGAGCTGGGGTGTACGGAGTCTGGGGTGCCCTGGGTCTGGAGTGTAGACAGTCTATGGGATGTCCCTGGTCCAGGCTGGGCAGGAGCTGGGGGGTATGGAGTCTGTGGGGTGTTCCCGGGCAGGAGCTGGGGTGTACGGAGTCTGTGGGGTGTTCCAAGTCCAGGGTGTCCTGGATCTGGGGTGTAGAGAGTCTATAGGGTGCCCAAGGTCCAGGGTGTCCCAGGTCCGGGCTGGGCAGGAGCTGGGGTGTATGGAGTCTGTGGGGTGTTCCAGGTCCGGGGTGCCCTGGGTCTGGAGTGTAGAGAGTCTATGGGATGTCCCTGGTCCAGGCTAGGCAGGAGCTGGGGGGTATGGAGTCTGTAGGGTGTTCCAGGTGCGGGGTGTAGAGAGTCTATAGGGTGCCCTGGGTCAGGGGTGTCCTGGGTCTGGGGTGTGGAGAGCCTGTAGGGTGTCCCGGGTCTGTGCTGGGCGGCATCTGGGGTATCCAGGAGTCTGTAGGATGTCCCAGGTCTAAGGTGTCCCAGGTTGTAGAGAGCCTATAGGGTGCCCCAGGACCGGGCTGTCCTAGGTCCAGGCTGGGTGGGATCCGGGGTGTATGGAGTCTATAGGGTGCCCTGGGACTGGGGTGTCCTGGGTTGTACAGGGTCTATAATGTGCCTCAGGTCTGGGGTGTCCCGGATCTGGGCTGGGTGGGATCCGGGGCGTATGGAGGCTGTGAGGTGTGTCCTGAGTCTGGAGTGTAGGGAATCTATAGGGTGCTCTAGATCTGGGGTGTCCCGGGTGTGGGATATACAGGGTCTATAGGGTACTCCAGGTCCGGGATGTCCCGAGCCTATAGGGTGCCTCAGGTATGCGGAGTCCCGGGTCTGGGCTGGGCAGGATCCGGGCTGTACGGAGTCTATAGGGTGCCCCGGGGCTGGGGTGTCCCAGGGCTGTAGGGTGTGGCAGTTCAGGGGTATCCCAGGTGTGGGATGTACAGAGTCTATAGGGTGCCCCAGGTCTGTGCAGGGCAGGATCGGAGCGGTGCAGGGTCTATAGAGCACCCCAAGTCTGGGGGCACTGGGTCTATAGGGTACCCCAGGGCTGTGCTGTGCAGGTCCTGAGCCATACAGGGTCTATAGGGCACCCCAGGTCCAGGCTTCTCAGGACCCAAGCCATATAGGACATGCAGAGGCTGTGTGGGGTCTGGGACGTATGGGGCATGGAGTCTTTGGGGTGCGTGTAGCATATAGGGTGCATAGGGCACCCAGGTCCAGGTCTGAGCCATAAGGGGAGTGGTGTGTGTTGGGCCTGAGCTGCACAGGACGCTCGGGGTCCCACCTGTGGAGGGTCTGGGGCGTATGGGGCACGAGGGGTGTATGGGGCAGGGGGTGTTGGAGGCTCCCGGGGTCCTGTGTGGGTGAAACCTGGGGTGTATGGGGTGCAGAGATCTGGGTGCGTGGGGCACAGTGGCTCTGGGGAGGTCTGTGGGGCTGCCAGCATCTATGGGGCCGGCGTCTGTGGGGTCTGAGGTGCAGAGGATCCCGAGATGTGTAGGGTGCAGGCTCCTGAGGGCCAGAGATGGATCGTGTCCCCGGTGCGCAGAGCCCAGTATCCATGGGGTCCCACCCCATGGTCACATTCCGTCCCGTCCCCATGCTGGGAGGCAGGGCTGATGGGTGGTGGGTTGGTGGTGGGGTCTCCAGAGGGTTGCTGGAGATGGGGACACGCAGCCCGAGGTTGGTTTTAGCAGGGCCAGGTGGCACGGGGTGGGCGATGGGTTCAGGACACCCTTCCTGGGGTGGCCAGGGACTACTGGGGTGCTGTCACCAGGGCCTACTGGGGAGAGGAGCCCGGCCACCTCCCCGGTTGTCCCGGCGTGGGGCAAGGGTGGCCGTGACTCAGCACCCTCCTGGCCGCGCCAGCGCCGTGCTCATGCCCAGGCGGAAGGGAAACCACCCCGGGGAAGTGCCACCACCACCAGCTGAACTTCCAGGAGACACCACGGCACCGGGGGCTGCCACCCCGATTCCCAGCCCTCGCCGGCACGCCATGGGCGGGATGCCCCGAGCAGCTGGGGCCCCTTTTGCCAGCCCCAGCGGCCATTTATCCCCTCGGGGACATCCCGGCGGGGTCGGTGACCGTTCGGTCCCTGTGGACTGATGTTTGCACTCCCTGGTTCTCCTCCTCCTCCTCCTCCCCGCGATGCAGCCTCCATCGGTGGCAGCGCCACAGACGGGGCTTTGTTCCGTCTGGCTGCAAACGCCTGCTCTTTTCCCTCATCCCAGCCATGGCACCTTCCTCTGTTGGGACACTCTGTTGCCACCACCTCTCTCTTCTTCTTCCTCCTCCTCCTCCTCGCGGGCGTGACGAGCCCGACGGGTTGGGGCGAAGGAAGGTACCGGCCAAACGGGTTCTGGCGCCGCCGCCGCAGCCCGCGCTGAAGGGAATTGCCACCACCGTCCCAGTGCAAATAGAGGGGGTGATAACGCCGGGGACGCAGGGAGATCACACACTGCCTGGCACCACAGACACCATCCCGGGCTGGAACACGGAGGAGGGGGGAGAAGGAAGGGGGCAAAAAAGAAAAAAAAAAAAGGAAATCACTGCGTCGCACACACCCCACGTGTGTGAGCTGCTCTGCCGGGCTTGCCACCGTCCCCCCCCAAAGGGAAATAAATCACTGCGTTGCACACAGCCTATGTGTGTGAGCTGCTCGGCTCGCCACCACCCCCCCCAAAAAAACCCCGTTGGAGGGAGATGCACTTGGGTTCTTGCTTTGGCTGCTTTTTGGGCAGCTGGACCCCCGAGCAGCTCTCTGGAGGAGGTGGAGCATCGCTTTGGCTCTGAGCTCTTGGTCCCCTCATGGTTTTGCTGGTGTCTCTCGGAGGTGCCAGGGCTGAGCCATCCAGCATCCCCCCCCTGCCCTGCTCACCCCAGGGGACTTCGAGGGTTTTGCAAGAGAAGGGAAAGAAAAAACCAACCAACCAAACAAAAAACCCCCCTGGCTCCGAGCTCTTGGTCCCCCCCTTGGTTTTGCCGGTGTCTCTCGGAGGTGCCAGGGCTGAGCCATCCAGCATCCCCCCCCTGCCCTGCTCACCCCAGGGGACTTCGAGGGTTTTGCAAGAGAAGGGAAAGAAAAAACCAACCAACCAAACAAAAAACCCCCCAAAAAAACCCAACTGTTAATGGAGGAGAGGCAAAGAGGAAGATGAGAGCTGGCCTTCATCCTGCTGACACCCCTTCCTCCGGCTCTCGGGAGGCTGCAGGTCCCTCTTTGGCGTCACTCACCCAAGCCCCCTTTGGCCACAGACAAATTAACCCCCAAACTTTGGTTATCTATGCAAACCGAAGGTACAGGGGAGATCAAAGGGAGAAGCCCTAATTACCCAAAACTTAGACGGTGGATTTTTAGCCGCCTCGCTAGAGGGAAAACTGGATCATCTAATTACCCCTCCAATTTAAGCAAGGAGAGCACTTTCATCACCGCCTCCCGGGGGTGTGTGATGTGGCCTTGAGTCACAGTAAATCCCCTCGTCCCTCTCGGGGCTGGCGTCCTCCTCTTCCTCTCACCAGGCTTGTCCTGGCTCTCCCTCCCAGCCCCAGCTCGCTTCCACGTAGGCGCTCGCATGCCCTTTGGTGGTGTCACAAGAAGCAGCTTCTTTTTTTTTATTATTAATTATTTTTTATTATTATTTTTATAAGGATAAGTTACCTTCCACCTCCTTGCTGCGCCCATTGCTGAGATGCAGCCCCGTGGGGCTCTGGGGACGGCCGTGCTGGTGGGACGGTGATGCTGGGAGCGTTGCCACCCTGGGTGGGCACCTCCCGGGGGGTCCCTGCCCTCTTTGGGGGATGTCCCCCTGCCACACACCTGAGCCCACGTGGCCGGGGTGGCTCATCTCATGGTGGGACAGCAGCGAGTGGAGTCATTTTGGAGCTCGGGGAAGGCGATGGAAGGGCACGGCAGGGCTTTTGGGGAGGGGGGGAGGGCGTTGACTTGTTGGGCAGAAGGGTGGGCACGGGTGGAAAATGTGGGTCTGGGGGCAGCATCGCCCTGTGTGTGGTCCAGGGGGGGAGGTTTCCAGCTCCTCCTGCATCCTGGGGCACATCAAAACCCCGCGCCAGACCCTCTCTCTCCCCAGTTTTGCTGATGCGAGGAGGTGTCACGGGCATCGGGCTGTCACTGAGCGGGGTGGTGGGATGCCACCGGGTCACCCGGTCACCAGGAGAGCTGGCACCAGGGCGGTGGCACAGCGATAGGTGTTGACTTTCCCTGCTCTTCCATCATGGCCTCTTGCCCATCCTTCCTGGCAGGACCTGTTTGCCCCGGGGGATGACTCGGGTGCATCAGCGTCACCCACGGACCAACAGACCCCTTTGGCCTCCTTCAAACCCACCTTTTATGAGGAGGAGGAGGAGGAGAGGCAGAAGCCCCGGGTGGTGGTGGGGCTCGGTGCCCCATGGGGCAGGCAGGAGCTTGCCACTGCTGTGGGGAGCAAGCTGGGGCACGCAGACATGGCTCCCACCCTGCTTGCACCATGGTTGCCCGTCCTTTGGGTGCCAACCCTGGGGTGAGCAAGAAGAGCCTTCCTCCTGCTCCCCTGCTGAGAAAGAGGAGGAGGAGGAGGTGGTGATTCAGGCGAGGCACGCAGGGTGAAGGCATTTCAAATCCTCCCCATCCTGGTGAGGGGGAGCCAGGGATCATCCTGGGAGATGGGGTCCAAGCCCCCCCTGTCTCTCTCCCTGCCCTGGGAGGACGGGGAAGCCCGTGGCCGTGTTGGAAGCACGTGGGCATTTTGGAAAGGGGAGGAGAGGTGCCGGGGTGTTGTGGCAGCCCAACCCTCTTACGCATCCTTCCTGCCAGCGTTGAGGTGGGCTCGTTCCTTGGGGGGATGGAGAAGCCTCTTAAAAGCCAAATTTTCTTCCAAAGCACCCGCACTGGGCGGGGTGGGGGAGGCAAAACCCCAATAACTTGGCCACCCTGGGCTGGGTTTCCAGGCGGGATGCCTCCCCTGGAGTTTTGGGGTGTCTGGTTAGAGGACAGAGCTGGAAATACTGGGGAGGGGGGGACTTTTGGAGAGGGAGGAGAGGTAAAATTGATGCCTGCTCAAGCCCAACCTGGCTGGGAATATCCTGCCCTGGAAATATCCTGCCCTGTCGCCCGAGGGCTGCCTCGGGGCTGGGTAGGGCAGCTCCCTTTCCATTGGGATGAGGCTCCGAATCCAGCTAGCCCAGGAAAGGAGGTGGTAGCCCAGCTGGCAAGGAGTGCCCGGTGTGGGCAAACAGCAGCCAGGCCCTGCCTCGGCGTCACCACTGCGGCACGGAGTAAAGTCCTGTCCTCCCCGGCGAGGTGGCACTCATCCCTCCTGCATCCCGGTGTGTCCCCCATCCCTCTTCCCAACCGGGATGCCGTGGGATTGAAGGGAAAGGGAACAAGCCGGGAGAGCATCCGTCGAGGCTGCCGGGGACAAAACCTTGCCCCGTTGCGAGCGGGGAACGCCGGCGGGCATTGCTGTGCCGCGCCGTGCCGCGCCGTACCCTGCTGCCGGGTTAATGGGTAACTCAAGGTGACAAAGAGGGAGGAAAAAAAAAAAAAAGGCATGTTTGGCACGTCCTGCCCGGCCAGCCGATGGGCTGCTGGGGGGCACGGCCAGCTCGGGGCTTGCATGGGCACGCTGCGGCCTCCCCGAGCCCCCCGCTCGGCGGCGGAGCCGGCACCGGAGCTGGCAGTGCCAGGGAAGGTGCTGGCAGCCGGCGGTGCTTTGGCTTCCAAGCATCAGACGAGGCAGGTTTCTCCTGTTTTTCAGCCAGCGGGACGGCAGCCCGGGCTCCATCCTGCTGCTGCCACCACACCGGGACGTCCCCTGTCCCTCTCGGCGTCCCCTCTCTAGCCAAAACCAAGCCCCCACCTCATGTGGCTGAGGTGACCAGCCTGGTGGCACCACACAAAGCCTGCCCGGCCAGCCGATGGGCTGCTGGGGGGCACGGCCAGCTCGGGGCTTGCATGGGCACGCTGCGGCCTCCCCGAGCCCCCCGCTCGGCGGCGGAGCCGGCACCGGAGCTGGCAGTGCCAGGGAAGGTGCTGGCAGCCGGCGGTGCTTTGGCTTCCAAGCATCAGACGAGGCAGGTTTCTCCTGTTTTTCAGCCAGGGGGACGGCAGCCCGGGCTCCATCCTGCTGTTTCCGCCACACCGGGACCTCCCCTGTCCCGCTCGGCGTCCCCTCTCTAGCCAAAGCCAAGCCCCCACCTCATGTGGCTGAGGTGACCAGCCTGGTGGCACCACACAAAGGGCATTTTGCCCTTTCCCCCATGGCAAGCTGCATTTTTTTCCCCATTGTGCCCAGAACCAGGGTGGTTGGTGGCACCGGCCGTGCTGCTGGTAGCCCAGCTCCCTTGGGGACCAAAGCACCCAGCTGGGCTTAGCCAGGTGGAGATTTGGTAGCCCAGCCCTGGCATCCTGAGGACCAACCCAGGGATGCTGGTGGCTTTTGCAGGAGTGGCTCTGGCTCCAGCTGGCACTGGCTGGGCCACTGGCCCACGGGAAGGTGAGCGGTGCCACGGCAGTGCCGTGGGGGAAAGGCTGGCCCCGGGGGCACCGCAGCCTCCGCTTCCCAACACCCTGGGGTGGTCGGAAAACTGAGCTGGCAGGGGGGAATTTTCCAAAAAAAAACAACCCCAAGAGTGGGAGAAGGTTTGGAGCAGAGCTCGCCAGCAGCCGCATCCCTCGGGAACCTGCTCTGCAGGAACTGTCTGGCTTAAATTCAGCAGATTATTATTTTTTTTCCCTCCCCTTATTTATTTAGCAGGCAGGAGCAAGCGAGCTCTGCCCCTGGGTGGCACGGCCACCACTGTCCCCACCAGGGCTTCACCACAGGGGGTTTTTTCCCTCCTTTCCTCTCTTTCCAGATCTACCCTGAGCCCGTGGATGAGAAGGAGGTGGACACCACCGCCCAGACTCCAAGGGGGATGGACCCCCGCTGCAAACCGGTGGACGAGGAGAAGGTGAGAGCTTGGGGGGGGGGGGG